CACAGGAGGAGGATAATATACATACATATAACCCTCAGTCACAGGAGGATAATATACATATGTATAGCCCTCAGTCACAGGAGGATAATACACATACGTATAACCCTCAGTCACAGGAGGAGGATAATATACATACATATAACCCTCAGTCACAGGAGGAGGATAATATACATACATATAACCCTCAGTCACAGGAGGATAATATACATACGTATAACCCTCAGTCACAGGAGGAGGATAATATACATACATATAACCCTCAGTCACAGGAGGATAATATACATATGTATAACCCTCAGTCACAGGAGGAGGATAATATACATACATATAACCCTCAGTCACAGGAGGAGGATAATATACATACATATAACCCTCAGTCACAGGAGGATAATATACATACGTATAACCCTCAGTCACAGGAGGATAATATACATATATGCGATAACCCTCAGTCACAGGAGGAGGATAATATACATCATGTATAACCCTCAGTCACAGGAGGGATAATATACATACATTATAACCCTCAGTCACAGGAGGATAATACATACATATAACCCTCAGTCACAGGAGGAGGATAATATACATACGTATAACCCTCAGTCACAGGAGGATAATATACATACGTATAACCCTCAGTCACATGAGGATAATGTACTTACCCCTCAGTCACAGGAGGAGGATAATATACATACATGTATAACCCTCAGTCACAGGAGGAGGATAATATACATACATGATAACCCTCAGTCACAGGAGGAGGATAATATACATACAACCCTATAACCCTCAGTCACAGGAGGAGGATAATATACATACATTATAACCCTCAGTCACAGGAGGAGGATAATATACATACATATAACCCTCAGTCACAGGAGGAGGATAATATACATAACCCTCAGTCACAGGAGGATAATATAACCCCCTCAGTCACAGGAGGAGGATAATATACATAACGATAACCCTCAGTCACAGGAGGATAATATATACATATTATAACCCTCAGTCACAGGAGGAGGATAATATACATACGATAACCCTCAGTCACAGGAGGATAATATACATAACATAACCCTCAGTCACAGGAGGATAATATACATAACATTATAACCCTCAGTCACAGGAGGATAATATAACAGGAGGATAATATACATCACGTGATAACCCTCAGTCACAGGAGGAGGATAATATACATACATATAACCCTCAGTCACAGGAGGATAATATACATACGTATAACCCTCAGTCACAGGAGGATAATATACATACGTATAACCCTCAGTCACAGGAGGATAATATACATACATATAACCCTCAGTCACAGGAGGATAATATACATATATAACCCTCAGTCACAGGAGGAGGATAATATACATACATATAACCCTCAGTCACAGGAGGATAATATACATACATATAACCCTCAGTCACAGGAGGATAATATACATACATATAGTCATAATATACATACGTATAACCCTCAGTCACAGGAGGATAATATACATACGTATAACCCTCAGTCACAGGAGGATAATATACATACCTATAACCCTCAGTCACAGGAGGATAATATACATACGTATCCACGCACTAGTGCATGCTCAAGGCACGGGTATTTTTTTCCCTTGATCACTGGATGTCAATCTCAACAGCACATCTTATTATCAATCTCAGCTCCCTGGAGAGCATACAACTCTTGCTGCCACTAGGCTCACCAACTTATTGCGGCTTTCCCATCCTTACGAGGTACCCAATCACACCTGGGTGGACTGGGACACATAGTCACAGTACTTTGTCCAAGTTCACTGCACGTTGCTGTACCCGCAACTAGGTGTTTGCACATATTCATGTGGCCACCATCTGGTCATATATCAATGGATTCGTGGGTTCTTTTAAATGCACAGGGTTGTGTACTGTACACTAGGGGTTGTGACAACTCTGAAAGAGTCTGCACACAAAGTTGACTCCAAGGTTTTTACACCTGGCCACAGGTGGGCTCGATCCCGCACCTCATGCTCGTTGGATCACTAGCCTGGCGCCTTAGCCAGCTTCGCCCACCACGCCCATAATATATATATAGTTGTATACGGATCGCAATTCAAGTAAATAAGGGAGGATATTTATGGAGTTACCAGGACACTACCTCAAATCTGCAGATCATACAACAGAAAGATACCCTCTACTACCTGAAAGTGTACTACCAGTTGTCCGTCATTAAATTAATCCTCATTAATCATTACATTAAAAGGATTGCTAATTGTCGAACAAATGCCTCAGGCAAAAGGTTTATCAATTCAGTCCCCTTTTTTCTCATTATCATTACCAACTGTGTTCATTTTAATAATGTAGAATAATTATTTTTATATTTAATTATATATTTATAATATGGTATATTTTTGGTTTTATCTTTTATTTGTAAATATTATATGCTTCTCTTTACAAAGCATATTGCACCTTGGGATAATTTCCTTCATAAACCTGATGCTAAAGGAGGGCACATCCACTACAGTAGGTAGAACTGTCAACTGGATTATAAATCCATAGGCATCATAACAATACCAGCATAACTCAGTACACAGGATCCTCTTGAGCATCCAGGGCAGTGCACATATAGTTTCAACACCCTTGAGGGGGCCATAAACATGATAAGAGTCAGCACACACATCCCTCCATCCACAAGTCAAACACTCGAGCCAGCAGTCAGAACAAAGGTAGTGGGTGGGGCTGGCATCCACAATGCTCACCTGTGTCAGGTATTGCAGTGATGCATGATGTCATGCAGTCAGATATTTCATCCCCACTCCCATATCCAGGCACAGAAAGATTCCACGACATATATCAGGCCATTTGGTGACGTTTTTAAAAATATCAACTCACAAACTTTAAGATTGTGCAATATAAAAATATATATTTTTTTTTACATTAAAAAGTCATATATGTACAGGTAAGTAACAAATCAATTAAGGTATATACTAGTAGGGGTACAGAAGGAACTTGCCATAACCAATCATATTGACCAGAGTCGTGGTTGGATGGGTGTGGTTGTTGTCATCTATATAGAGAGATGGTGAGATGGGGGAGGGGTTTAGTATGGGTAGGAGAGTCTTGTTGCCTGTGAGAGTGGTTTCAGGATGGAGTGCATTCCTCATTGTCAAGTGGTGTTATGTGTGGATAAACACAACATCCATTATGTCCGCATCGTCTTAGGTAAAGGTGCAGACAGACTGGTGTATCATCACTTGAATATAGGCTCTTACAAGAACTGTGACTGACAGCTTGAAGTATACAGGATGTGTAGGGTGTTATCAGGTGGAGTGGAATGTGGGGTGGGGGGCGGTAAAAGTGTTGAATCATGATGGAGATAGAAGGGTGAAATCGGAGATGTTTGTTGACTACTGGAGTCTGTCTAGCTGCAGAGCAAGGGGATGTGGAGTAGGTAACTGTGACAGGACCATGCATGGGTTGATGGAGGATGTCAAATACATGGGCTCTCCTCGTGAACCATCAGCCATCAATACACATGGGTGTGGAGGGGAATGAGGGTGGCCACTAGGGTGTGAAGAGGATGGGGGTGGGGATGAAGGGGGCTAGGGGTGGGGATTAGGTGACTAGGGATGGGGATGAGGGACTAGGGTGTGGTGAGGGGGATATAGGGGGGGATGAGGGGACTAGTTTGTGGATGATGGGACTAGGGGCAAAGATAAGGTGGAGATGAAGGCACTAGGGGTGGGGATGAAGGGACTAGGGATGGGTATGATGGGACTATGGGCAGAGATGAGGTGTAGATGAGATGAGGGCACTAGGGGGGGGATGGGGACTAGGGGAGGTATGAGGGGACTAGGGTGGGTATGAAGAGAGACTAGGTGTGGGTATGAAGAAGAGACTAGGGGTGGGTATGAGAGAGACTAGGGGTGGGTATGAAGAGACTAGGGTGGGTATGAAGAGACTAGGGGTGGGTATGAAGAGACTAGGGGTGGGTATGAAGGAGACTAGGGGTGGGTATGAAGAGACTAGGGGTGGGTATGAAGAGACTAGGGGTGGGTATGAATAGGGGGTGGGTAGGGGTGGGTATGAAAAGAGACTAGGGGTGGGTATGAAGAGACTAGGGGTGGGTATGAAGAGACTAGGGGTGGGAATGAAGAGACTAGGGGTGGGTATGAGGGACTATGGGCAAAGATGAGGTGTAGATGATGGCACTAGGGGTGGGGATGAAGAGACTAGGGGTGGGTATGAAGAGACTAGGGGGGGTATATGGGGACTAGGGATGGGGATGAAGAGACTAGGGGTGGGTATGATGGGACTAGGGTGGGTATGAGGGGACTAGGGGTGGGTGGGGATGAAGAGACTAGGGGTGGGTATGAAGAGACTAGGGGTGGGTATGAGGGGACTAGGGGTGGGGATGAAGACTAGGACTGGGGGTGAGGGATAGGGTGGGTATGATGGGACTAAGCAAAGATGGGGATGTAGATGAGGGCACTAGGGTGGGGGATGAGGAGACTAGGGGGATGAAGAGACTAGGGGTGGGTATGAGGGACTAGGGGGTGGGGATGAGGGGGACTGGGGATGGGGGGAACTAAGAGTTGGGATGAGGGAACAAAGGGGATGAGAGGGAACTAAGGGTGGGGATGAGGGAACAAAGGGTGGGGATGAGGGGTACTAAGGGTGGGGATGAGGGGACTATGGGTGGTGATGAGGGAAACTAAGGGTGGGGATGAGGGAAACTAGGGGTGGGGATGAGGGAAACTAGGGGTGGGGATGAGGATGAGGGGACTAGGGTGGGGATGAGCGGAACTAGGGGAAGGGGGAAGGGCAGGGAGGAGGTTGCTGGGAGTGTTGATGATGGAAGGGGTGAGTGTTGTACATGGGAAAGTGACCTGTATAACAGTGAGAAGGAACAAGGAAGATATGACAACACCTGCAGACAAACACAAACCCGGGTGTGACCCAACCCGTCCCTTGTGCCGAGTGGCACCCTGGTGTGGTCAACATCCCCCTACCTGTGTATCTCCATCTCAACCGTGGACTCCTCTTGGTGGGGACATGCATCTGTATCTGTGCTGTAGCTACCTTCATGCTCCCAGGTTACTGTCACTACACACAGGGATGCTGCAGTGATCACTTACAGATGAAGTCAAGGGGAGCAGGTCACATCACTGTGTCAAGTTTGTCATGTGTCTCCGGAGACAGATAATATGTTGCAACATTCACTGTCACTGTTAATCTAATATTGCTGTATTTGAAATTGATTCAATTCCACCACAACACAGCAACTGCTGAGACACTTATACAAACTTCTCTCTGTGAAGAGCTTGAGGAAAAGAGTGGGATGACAAGTGAAAGACCCGGACTTGTACAGCAAGGATGTAGACACCAATGACCTCACCTTGACTGCACCCTTCTCATAATAGTGACAGAAACATCCCTTCAAATTCCCACAACATTCATAAAGCAGCTCAGAAACCAGAACACAAAGCCATGCCCTGGAGTTTCAATGCACACTGGAGTCCATTGAACTGCATCTCTGATTCAATGATGGAATAAGTCGGACTGAACGTTTCAAAAGACTGCTTTTCACATTTCTGTAGCTGATGTGATGAAGCTGTACCCTATCATCTTTCCTTTAAAAAAAGTCAGCTTGTAAAGTGACGTTCTCACCTTGGTTTATCTATTCAGAGAACAGTGCATCATACATATCCCATTTCAACGTCAGTTCATCCAGCTGTGTCTACAATGTCACAATGTCTGTTGTCCTCTGTATATTACACAAGTTTTTTTAGTTTTTTGTTTTCAATATTTCATCAGATCCACCCTAGTCCACATATAATAAGGCTTTCATCATCTCTTTCACCAAATGATCCATACATCCACAGTTTGAATCCCATCAACTCAGTTCCCCTTCTTCAACCGGTGTGTAATCTACAGTAAGAGGCATGTTTCTCCTGATCCACAGTTTGAATCCCGTCAACTCAGTTCCCCTTCTTCAACCGGTGTGTAATCTACAGCATGTTTCTCCTGATCACACCTGGAAGCACAAATGTCCAGTTTCTCAATCTTCCATCATTCTGCATCCCAGCAAGTCCCCTCCTAGTTCTTGTACAAACTTCCAGTTTATCTAATGAGAACAGTCCATACTGTATCTACAGTAAGCATCGACCTTCTTGTTCCGTTTCAAGTGTCCAGTTTCTCCAATCGGGCAATCTTCCTTCAACTGAATCTACTCTCCTCCTCTGGTACATATGTTCAATCTGTACACTATCTGACCCTCTGTCCTTTCCTCTGAGGATCTACACCCTGTCTGTGTCACCACCTAAAGTGCCCCGAGCCATCTACACTTCTCCTCTCATCACTCCCGACATCCTCACGCATCAGACGCCTGCTGGCAGCTCCAGGCTGAAGGCAGACATCATAAACTGTTATCAGTCTGACAGCAGCAGAAGCAGCAGATTCATATCCCTGACTCCAGTGACTTCCTTCACCCGACCAGAAGCTGCCTCAGGGTGTACTGTCATGATGCGTGCGCTCCCCCTAGCTGCCTTGGCCTCATCATCCTAATTCATCATCTTCCCTCCTCGTGCAACACCGACAACTTGGGCCGCTGCGTCTAGATTATCACCGGTACTCTGTGTACAAGCACTTCCTGCCTCTGACACGTAGTTCATACCCTCAGCATCGTAAACCCTACATCAGCTAACATACATTGCTGTCTGCAACACCAAACTGTCGCTTGCGTGTTTTGCCATGTCTGCTTTGAAACTTCCGTCAGGAGATGCATGCATCATGCTTCTAAATGCACATACCACGATAAAACACATCCTCCTGCATGAGCTCATCTCATTCAGCTGCTCACTTGGACATGGCTTTGGAGACAATGAATGTGTCACAAACTATAAAAGCCCCATTGTCGTCTTCAACTAATATGTAATTGCATTTTCATACATCTAATTTATTAAAATAAACCTGGTTGGCCACTTTTTCAGGGGAATGGAGGGGTGGGGGAGGAATGTCTCTGGAAGTAAAGAAGTTTGAATTTGCTGGATGACCATGTACAATTTTTTTCATGACCCTTCCTGAAAAGACATAATACAAAATCACTTTGTTTTGAATAAAATGTCCACTTTAACAGAACCCTCCACAAATATGGGAGTAATCTTTCATGTCCCTTACCAAGAGACCCATATTTTGTAGGGATCCTTCAAATTCCATCTGATCCCTTCACACAGTTATATAACTAGTCCTTAGTTTTTCCTACTACTGATTTGTCAAGACTATTTTCCTTCGCCTACTTCATATGGTAGTCTTTCTAAATGAACCTTTTCTTCAATTAGTCACACACTATGAAATATGTGAATATATTCTTTAAGGTTTTTGCTACATGCATCAGTAGGCTTAGGGCAAGTAGTCTCTTCACTGATTGTGTGAGGAATAGTTTTCTTAAGCTATCCCAGAGTTCAAACACTATTGAGCACTGATCATGTTGACAATTAACATGTGTGATGGTTTTGTGAGCATGCATTAATTAAACATACCTGTTATTGTATCAAGTATGTTAAGTCTCTTCCTTTACACACCAGTTACCAAGACCGAAACCACCCCTGAAGATGTATTGATTCGACCTGTTGGATAATGAATACTGTCTCAACTGTCTCGATGCTTGCTTGAAACATACCATGAAACACACCACAGAGCTACAGATAACTTTTTGTGTCATTGAGTTATGAACTTGCCTGTGTTCATCTCAGTTGGGTATCCTAATTTTCTTTTGAGTAACCAAATACATTATACCCACGTCAATCTTTCTCTGTCTCTGTTTCTAATAATTGCTTGTGATGTAATTAGTTATTGTCAATATCTTACGAGAGGGGTTCATAAGTTGTCAGAACTTGTCCCCATCCTTTTCACATTGTGAATAAAATATGTTTAAACTAAACTCAAACTCAATTTGGTATTTTGCCATTTTCCATTAATTGTAAAAATATAATAAAGTATAAATGTTGGTTTATGCGTTTGTTATTTATATTTGATCTGTAATATGAGAAAGGTTAAGAAAGACTGCAAGTTGCCAAGTTCAGGTGCTGAAATGGACCTCTCAATATACCTCAGTTATTTTATCTATTTCAGGATGTCATCTTGCGGAAATATAAGCTAATAGTAACCATATCATCAGACACACCTAAGCATATATACTGCTTGTCAAATATCTGTTTTTTTGTGCGGATTTTCGTTTGTTGATAGATCAGTGTCAGCGGGGAAGAGAAAATCAATTTTGTAAGTCCCGCCAAACCCTAAATAGTAGCTGTTGTCTGATTGGTTAAATCCGTTTGGCAGTCTCACGTTTGATTGGACGGTCATAGGTCGCTCAAAGGTTAGCTGACATGACCTTCTACTAGGGTTTGTTAAGACTCAGTATAGCAGTGTAACGAATAATACTGAGCCTAAGTTTATTTAGAATGGTGGTCAGGCACACTGACTACATGGTCAATGCATTTCAACATATCCTACTGCATTGATCATGATGTCAATCACTGGATTGTCTGGTCCAGATTTGGTAATTTACAGACCGATGTCACAAAGATGGAATTTAGCTGTCTGTGGGGTTAAACAATCAATCATAACATGAATTTATACAATCATGAGGGTTCAATGTCTGAAAATTGGCTCAGATATGCACTGCATGAATTGTACCGAACTTCAGACTGAAGCCAAGGTAGGCTGCAGATGAGGCCATTCCCCTGGGCAATCAGAAAACTGAAAGCAGGGTTGCAAACATCTTGAGCACCACCAAATATAAGCTGTGAGCATTACGCAATACTAAGTAACATGTTGAGTACATGAGACAAGGAACAGTCACTAATGTTGTTTCTATATACAATTCAAACATTGAAGAAATTAATCGTAAATCCATGAAATGAACAACACAGCCATGCATGTGCCTGATCCATTTGTTTCTTCACGGTGACACATGTCGATATCAATCATGCTTAATACCTAGCTGTCTTAAAAACAAACGATCTTCACCATTCTCCTTCCGTGTAAACTCATCACATTAACTTATTAATAAACAATGAATCAATTCATCACTGGATTCGTAAATACGATACTGGTTCCTGGAATGGCTCTTTATGTACATTCAGTAAGTCAGTTGAATCAAGGAAGTTAAACACTTATTGTCTAATCTTATCTTGCTGATCGCCAAGCTGTGATCAGCTGACCACACCTCATTACCCTGAGGTTGACCAGCATTACCACATTGTTATGATTTCTTGTACGCCTTGAGGGTATCACAAGGGAAGACAATCTCCATGGCTAACATCAAATGAGTGCAAAATATACTACTTTAAAGAAGCTACAAACACCTGATTTTTTCATATTTCTATTGTTTTTCTGTCATGTCATGGCAGATTATCTATAGTCAGATGAAATAAACGAGTTCTTCAATGTTTTTTGAGTAGAGTACAGAACATCCAGACGTCAGATATTTGTATATCGCTGAAGTTCAGTGATGCATCCTGAAACAGTACTTCCTGTTATGCCACACTCAAATCAAATGTAAATCAACTTTGATGTAGATTTCATCTCGACTGACTGCCTGACATAATCCATTCATGAAATGTTTAATCTTTAATCCTGCATCCCTACATTCATGTGGTGTTTGGAGGCGCCAGGCATATCATTATTGTTGTCCAGTCCCCTCTCCCCAACATCTCCCTCATTACCCACACACCCCATTACAGACACCCCCTCTTTCCCCCATTACCCCCTCTCCCCAACATCTCCCTCATTACCCACACACCCCATTACAGACACCCCTCTTTCCCCATTACCCCTCTCCTTCTCATTACCCACCTCTATTAACCACCCTTCTCCCCCCCCACTACATCTCCCCATTACCCCTCCTTCTCTCCTCCTATCTACCACCCCTATCTCCCACCTCCTTCTCATTAACCACCCCTACATCCCTTTTCATTACCCACCCCTCTCCCCACTACATCTCCCTCAGTACCCTTCCCCTTATTACCACCCCTATCTCCTTCCTTTTCATTACCCACCCTACATCCCTCCCTCCTTCCTCCACTGTCCCCCTCTCCCCCTTTGATTACCCA